TCCCTGAGTCACTCTCATGTCTCGGTGGTGTCTACCTCTCAGCCTTCTCTCCTCAGGAGCTGATCTGCAGAGGTGCTGAGCAGCTCCACTGTCCCTGAGGGTCAGCAGGAGCCGAGGCCGCTCTGTGCCACACCTCTGACAGTCAGGTCCTGGTTGGATTTTCATTGCGTTCCTCTGACAAGACCCCCACTGCCACTGTAATAATCAATTCCCTGGCGAGTTCAGACTCAGATACCGCTTTCTGTGCACATGCCACTGCTGCTGAAATCTGTCACACCCTGAAGTATTCAAAACTAGCACGTAGCATTTCGAGGTGTCAAAGAGGGAATGGGCAGCCCCCAGAGTGCAAGCTGCTGCCCCCCCCAATTTCCTTGCTCAGTTTGGCAGAGTGAGAGGTGGGCATAACAAGAGAACCATTTCCTTTGGGAGCCTCATGCTAGGGGTAAATTCCACAGCTGCAGCATCAGAACCAACAACTCCCAGAAGAGGGTTTGTGAGGTCATTACCACAGTGTGGCTGTGTCACAGAGAGCAAGGACGCACACACAGATTACGCCAGCGGGCAGCGGCGCTCCGATGCCTTTCAGTGAAATAGACACCGGCCATTTAGTTTAATACAGAACGATAAGAACTGCCAGATTGGCCCAGACCCGTGTATCTAGAGCCCTGCAAGTCAGCGAGTATCCACATTCGCAGATGTTAATGCCGATGTCCATGGCTCAGTTTGCGGGAACAGATGCGAATACAAGTTTTGTATCCATCCAAGGCTCTACCAGTATCCTGACTCTGACAGCCACCAGCACCACATTCTTTAGCCATGGCTCACAATTCTGGACTCATCACCTAGAAGAAAAGCCTCTTCCTAGTTGCATGAGTCACTGAGGGGCTTATGCCCTGGAGCAGGACATATAACTAGAGAGGGTCTCATACTTGTTTGAACCTGATATGGGCCTCAGTGCACTTTAATGACAAAAAGTTCCACAGGTTAACGGTGCATTTATAGAATCTCAGAATCCTAGGACTGGCAGAGACCTCAGGAGGCATCCAGTCCAGCCCCCTGCCCACAGCAGGGCCAACCCCAACTCAATCATCCCATGCCATTTTGTGCAGAAGTCTTTTCTTTCACCTGATACCCATTTAAAAGTTCACCATGTTCGACTGGTCCTTTCTCTTTAACTATGTACCTCTTAAACTAAATAGCAAGGTTTTCTGTAATCCCCCACTCCCTTTGTGGAAGCCGTTCTTCATTTACAAGAATATAGCGGCATCAGCCACCTTCCAAGCCCCCTTCTTGGACAGATGAAGCTCTTTAGCCCTTTACCTCAGTTTCCCTTCTTTTAGGACTCTTTCACCTTCACAAACAGGCTTCTCTCCTGCAAATACCCCTTCCTAAGGCTGTTATTAATATAAACAGAACCCAGTGTTCCAAAATAAAGTCCACAGAGTCTAACTCAACTTTCTGCTTTTAACAGGCCACTTCCTGCCCTACCTTACTAGAATCTTGTTTCTCCTGGTGCCTCAAACACTTTTATAACCTTCTGCAACTACAAAAACCTCTCAAGTCTTTATCACAGCTTCCCCCTTTATAAGGCCCAGATATCTTCCCTTAAGCCCAGCTGAGCAGCAGGTCACAGGCACTGGACCTCCGCCCGCTTAAAAGGGCCAGTCACACAGTGACAAGTGTCACTTGGCTATGGAACCATAATGCTTTTGTTCTCTGTGTAACAGACCTTTCTGTTTCTAAATCCACTCCTTGCATGCTGAGTTGGCAGCCATTTTGTTCTCATAGTCCAATACAACTTAAAAAACAACAAAAAGTCCTGCAGCACCTTAAAGACTAACAAAACATGGAGCTGGGATCATGAGCTTTTGTGGGTGCAACCCACTTCTTCAGCCCATCTCCATGTTTTGTTAGACTTTAAGGTGCTACTAGACTATTTGTTGTTTTTTAAGTTTTTCCTGTTACAGACTAACTCGGCTCCCCCTCTGAAGCTTTCCAATATTTCTAATGGTAGTCAGAAAAGACACACTGTGCTCTCTAATGGTGAAGACTTTACTGTTGTTCTTACTCTTGGTTGCTGCTGTCCTCAATCTAAAGTGAAGTCCCTTGTTCTGGCTTACACAACTCTCTGAATTTTGTGGCTGGTGAAACACAAGGTACATTTGCCTTTGATTTCAAAATGAATTAAAACACATGAATTCAAAAATTAGAGTTGGGCAGATTGATAAGAGCGTGCGAGGTAGATGGGTTTGTTCATGGATATGTTAGTCACTGCTACATCAAAGCTCACATCAATCTAAAATCCTGTGTTTAACTATCCCCCTGAACTTCGGGAAGTTCGCTCCTGATCCCAGCTTCCCAGGGCCTATCTCTGTGCCCTAGGATTATATCTGTTAGCTGATTTCATACTCCTGGGATGTGTCTGCATCCTGTGTTATAAGGGGACTTGCAGAGAAAAGCTCTGCCTTGGTCATGAGACAGTCTCCAACAGAACATGCCCAGACATATTATCTGAGAGAGCAGGCCAGCCTGAAATGTGCCACTCTGCATTGTGGAAGGGGTTAAATCCAAAACAGCAACAATCGGAGGTGCTGAACGTTCAGCAAACAAGGTGGGTGCCAAGCACCCTGGAAACAGAAGATTAGATGCTTTATTTAGCACGTATATTTCTGATCCAAAAGAGCCTCCCAAATAGATGTAAACACACCCAGCCTCAGCTGTAGCTGTACCATGGCAAGCCACCAATGCAGACAGGGCTTGGGTGTAAAACTTCGTTGCCCTAGTGCAGGGGTGTCCAAACTTTTTTCAAAGAGGGCCAGATTTGATGAAGTGAACATGCGTGAGGGCCGACCATTTTGCCTGACATTCTTTGAACCATTAAAATTAAATGCAAATTAACTATTTTATGCAAAGTTTATTGCAAACGGCATACTTTTCATTTCGTCACATGGATGACAAATCTAAACAGGTGTTAAATCACTCTGCCTTTCATATCTGAAGGCCAGATGAAAAAAAAATCCAGGAAGCTGAAATATGTGTCAGGAACATTGTAAAGTACATTACATATTATTGGTAATAAAGGTTGTCTGTCAACTTTTAAGTTCAAAAAATATGAACAGGAACATAACACCAAGTATACATGTTGTGTCCAAATATATTTATAACTGATTTAGACCAACTGACATTAACTGAGATTTTACAATGTATTCATCTCAATACATATGGATTCGTTGGGGGCCATAAAAGATAGATATTGCCAAATTACCTGGGGGGCCGTATTAAACCGGAACACAGGCCGCAATTGGCCCGCGGGCTGGACTTTGGACATGCCTGCCCTAGTGAGTTAGTTAGCCTTGCTTTTATACAGGTTTGCAGTGATGCGGTGACCCCAGTACAGACAAGTCCTGAGATAAGGGGAAGGCAGATCTTACACTTCAGGATATAAACTGGTCACAGAAGAGATCAGGAAGGAATCTTTCTCCCTCCGTCTTTCCTCTCTTATATGCAACAATTATGTAACTGTTTAGGAGCACAGGCTCTGATCTTCTCAGGGCACTAAAGAGCTTAATTTCCATTCACTGCCATGTGAGTTAGCTGCCTGTATTCCCTTGTGGGCCATGGGGAGGTCGTTGTGTTTTGGTTTTGCTCTGAAGCAGCAGATACGGTAGCTGCTACAGAAGCTCGGGACGGAATGAATTGGGTCTGCTCTGGTATGGAAACCCTATTGAGAGAGTTAGTTTTCGACTGCCTTGAGCCAAACCAAAATCTTGCAGCACGGGAGCCCCTGGGAAGTCAGAGGGCAGCGCTCCCAGCTGTCCTTACCCATACCCAGAATACGCAGCATTGTAGGGCAGTGTTTCTCAACCTTTTTTATTAAAGTACCCCAGGACCCACAGTTTTCAGACACACAATTTTATTCTACCATTGCAACGCATTTGTTTAAACAACTTCATTGTAGCTGGGCAGACAAAATTTTTGGGTGTAAAAAGTACAAAAACAAAGCGCTGTAAAAAAACAAAAATTCAGTGTTCTCCACATTTCAGTTGTGTTGAAGTACCCCCCAGACTTCTCTCAAGTACCCATACCACTTGTTGAGAAACACTGGCATAGGGCACCCAAAAATTTGGGGCACCACTGGATCTTAATGTCCATTCACCCACCTCTTCCTATTCCCTTCTGTGGCTCTGCTTCCTCAGCAGAGGATCTAGTTAACTGACAAGTGACAAAGCCTGCCAGTCCCATTAGCAGAACACTGATCCTGTGCAAGAGCCATTCTGGTGGAAATGAAGCCATGTCCCAGGCATATGCCCACCCCAGGTCTACTGTCAGTTTCTGAATGCACTGAGCACTAATGTACACAGGACCTGGGTTTAAAATTTGCTTTATCATATTTCATTAGTGTGTAGCTGAATATTATAAAAGACTCACCCCGTGGGGCACAGGGGCACCAGTGTAATTACACCGTAGGGCCCCATGAACCCTAAGGAGGGCCCTGGCAATACTAGTAGCTAGGAGCAAATGCCCTGAAGTTCCTACCAGTGAGCTATGAAGCCTAGATCTGAACATTAACAGTTCATCCAGGACCGGGCTAGCCACCCTCTAGCCAGACGTGCCAAGCCGGTCACATTAGGAGAGACCTCACCTGCTCCTCCGCAGCCACTTCGATCCTGGTGACTGGAAGGGTCGGGGCGCAGATACACTGGCTGGTTCCGGGAGCTGGCCGTGGGACCGAGATTCTCAGCTAGTGCAGCGGCTGCACTGGCGCCTCCTGGCAGCTGATCCAAGCTGTGGTACTGAGGGGCCGGGCCGTGGGGTTAGCTCAGCCCCCAGCAGCAGAGGCTGCCACATATCACCAGAGCCCCCAGTCCGGGCTACCGAGCTGGTCGCAGCGCCTGGGACTGGCTGCGGGGGGCGGGGGAAATCAGCTGTGCGAGCAGGTGGGGAGGACGGGGGAGGAGCCCTGTGCCTGGGGGAGGAGCCCTGTGCCTGCCTCTCTGGAGGCTGGCAGGGCGCAGCGCGCAGAGCGCAGCGGCTTGGAGAGGCGGGGGGCGGGGAGACTGCGGCGAGGTGAGCGGGGGAGGAGCCCTGTGCCTGCCTCTCTGGAGGCTGGCAGGGCGCAGCGCGCAGAGCGCAGCGGCTTGGAGAGGCGCAGGGCTGGGAGCCTGGGGCGAGGTGAGAGGGCGGGGGGATCCTGTCTTTGTCCCCGTTAATCCGGCGGGGGGGGGATCCTGTCTTTGTCCCCGTTAATCCGGCGGGGGAGGGATCCTGTCTTTGTCCCCGTTAATCCGGCGGGGGAGGGATCCTGTCTTTGTCCCCGTTAATCCGGCGGGGGAGGGATCCTGTCTTTGTCCCCGTTAATCCGGCGAGGTGAGGGGGCAGGGGGGATCCTGTCTTTGTCCCCGTTAATCCGGCGGGGGAGGGGTCCTGTCTTTGTCCCCGTTAATCCGGCGAGGTGCGGGGGCAGGGGGGATCCTGCCTTT